GCTAACCATGTCCCTCTGGGCCGGGCCCTCGTGTGGCCACATACGCTGAGATTCACCCACCGCCCGTCGGGCCTTGCCTCTGTGAGCCGCGCCCCGTGCCCACCTGCCCACCTTTCCCGCGGGGGGGGGGGGTGGGCAGGGCACAGCCCCAGCCCTGCTCCTGGAGGAAACCAGGTGTTATTTATGGGGGAGCCTTTGGCGCGGGCGCAGGGGAGGGAGAGCCGCACATCGCCCGGGGGCCAGGGGCTGAGCTGTTCTACTCAGTGACCCCCGGCCTCAGCCAACTCAGCTGGAAAATTGGGTCAAGCCGTGGCGGCAGCTCGCAGTCCAGAGCCGCAGGCCCTGGGGGCTCCAGACCACTCAGGCAGTTGTATAGGCTGGCGGCCGCGACACCCCAGCCCAGGGTCCCCCCACTGAGCACCTCCCCAGGTGAGACCCAGTGGCCAGCTCCTGGCCTGCTCCCGTGACTGGCCACTGGCTTGGTTTAAGATGTAAGACCTGGGCGGGCTGACCCGGGATCCTGGGGGACACTTGTCCAGGACCAGAACCTGGATGGGCTCAGGGAAGGGAGCAAAGGAGACCCAGTATGAGCAAGTGTGTGTGCACATGTGTGTACATGCATATGTGTGTATTGTGCCCCCGTGTGAGTGTGTCAGTGCCTTATGAGTGTGAGCTTATGCATGCATGTGGATGTGAGTGCATGCATGCACTTGTGGATGAGTGCATGTGTGTGCTGTGTGTACCCATCCCGTGTGTAAAGGTGTGTCTTGTGCATGGGTTTATACGCGCGTTTGTGAATGCTTGTAGGTGGTGTGTGTCTATATACATGTATACATTTTTGCATATGTGTGGTATCTGGGTGAGGATGCGTGTGAGGGCCTGTGTGGATGCGTGTCTGAGCATGCATGTATGTGTGTATAGATTTATGCAAGTGAGTTCATGCATGTGTGGGGTATGTGAGTGCCCTGGGTGAGGATGTGTGTGTGCTCATGCACGTGCCTTGCCTGTGAGCGTGTGTGTGATTGTGTGAGCTTGCATGTGCATATATGCATATATGTACATATATATGCATATATGCATATATATGTGCATATATGCAGGTCCTGTTGATCTGTGTGAGTGTCCTGCCGTGGAGCCAGCAGGGGGGACCTGGTCTCTGCACCCCCGCCCAGGAGAGTCACCTGGCAGGGCGGCCTCGGCGGTGGGTGCCACCCACTGAGGGGTGTCCGGGCACGGCCCGAGGCAGTGTGGGAACCATAGCCAAAGGGAGGGCCCAGCGTCCACTGCTCACCCAGCACAAGGATCCCTTGTCCCATTCCTGTCTCTGCTCCACCTGTCCTGCTCCCCGTGCTCTCCGTGCTCCCCACCTGCCCCTGTGCTCCCCATGCTCCCCACCTGCCACCGTGCTCCCCATATGCCCCCGTGCTCCCCACCTGCCCCTGTGCTCCCGTGCTCCACACATACCCCCGTGCTCCCCACCTGCCCCGTGCTCCCTGTGGTCCGGCCGCTACCCTGGACAGCAGGCCCAGCACAGATGCAAATGCCTTGTCAGTGTCGTGCGGGGCTGGCCCTGAGCCCTGCAGCCCTCCTGGGACCGAGATGCCCGTGGCTGACCTACAGTCCTGCCCAGAGCTCTAGAAAATGTGGGGTGGGGGCTCTGAGCCCTCACCCAGAAGGTTACCCCATCCCCCGTGAGTGGGTCTGGGGGAAACAGCCCCAGGCCTTGTTTCTGCACAGATGGGGCCAGAATGGGCCTGAGGTACCAAAGGTTTGAGAGTGGGCCGCGGCCAGGGGCGCTGTGGGCCTGGGGGGTCCCAGGGAATACCCTCTCCGCCCCTGCCACCAGAGGCTTCTCTGGCTGGGGTTTCTCACAGACCACCCCTCACCACAGGCCTGGGGGTTGAGCGTAGGCCCGGGGGGTGGCAATGTCTGCGAGTGACTCTGGGCTCTGGAAAGTGGAAGAAGGTTCTGGAAGCAGTGTAGAGGCTGTGTTTGGCGGCCGGCAGGTGCCATGCCCGGTATTTGTCTTGGCAGAGCCGGAAACTCAGTGTCCCGAGGCGATTACATGGGTCCCGTGACTGTGGCTTCCGGCCTTGGGGGAGGCCGTCCAGGGGGAGCCCCCCAAGCGGGGCCTCCTGGGCGGGATCTGCCCTGCGCCCCTAGAGGCTCTGCTCCCCGCAGCCCCCAGAAAGCCCCAGCAGGGGAGCCCCGAGCAGACTCAGCACAGGGCCCTGAGAGCTCTCTCACGCGTCCTGGCGGGCGGACGCCCCTGCACGGGCCCGGCCAGGCCTTGCTTCCCTTTCCGAGGCCGAAAGTTATGACTTGTCATGAGTCATTGATTAGAAGTGCCACCCGCCACCCGCAGGAGATTTACACGCACTCGCCTGGGGCACATCAATCTCCCGGAAGCAGCAGGAGGAAGCGGCCCCCACCTGCAGGCCCAGGGAGGGCAGTGGGGGGGGCGGGCACCCACGGGGTCAGCGGGGCTTGAACCCCGGAGCCCCGACAGGGACCCCCAGCAGCAGGATGGGGCAGGGATGGGGCCTGGGCCCAGTCGGCATCTCTGGGCCCCCAGGGGTCAGGGCTGTAGCTTCCCTCGCTGGGACCCACCCAAGTGCAGAGGGTGGCACATGCGTCCTCCCAGAAGGGGACCCCCGCAGGAGGGTGGGGGACCCTCCCTCTGCCCGGAGCAGTTTCACCAGTTGGTGCCGCCCGGCCTGAGTCGCAGTGTAGACGGCGTGCAACCTCCGTTGGTGGGGGAGTGCAGGAGACAGGGCCGGGAGGGGGCGAGGGGCGTGAGGGGGTCCCGGGAGCCTGGGCCGGGAGCAGGCGCGCGGCCGCGGGGGGGCGGGGGGTTCCTCCAGGCTCTTTCCCGCCTACTTGCCTGTGTAAATATTTTTCTTCGGAGTAAAGAGAGAGCCGCCATTCAGGCCCCGCGCTCTTGAAAGGACTGAGAAGTATCTGTTTAGGCATAAAAGCCAAAAACAGTGTCCAAGGCGCCTTTAAAATACCATTTCTGAAGCTCAGACACGGCCAAGCTGATTTTTTTTTTAATGCAGAAAATAAATAAATAGGCCCGGCCTGGCGCGGAGAGACGGGGCACGTGTGAGGGCGCAGCCTCTGGCCGGCCGCGGGCACTGCGCTCTGTCCCCGCACGGCCCGGACCAGGCCTGACCCAAGCCGGCCAACCGGTCGGGGGTGCCGGAGTCTCCCTGAGCCCCAGAAGGGGCGGCTGGCGTGGTCCCAGCGTCTGAGCCCCAGAGACCGTCTGGGCGGGGGACGGGCCTGGGTCTGGGAACAGGAGGAATGTGGGGTGCTTGGGTCCCTCTTCCGGACCTCGGGGGTCGCACACACAGTCTGGGGTCCAGAGAGGCACCGCGAGGGACAGAGGCTGGAGAGCCTTGGCCCCTGGCCAGAATTGGGGAGTGTAGCAGGTGCAGGGGTGCCTAGTGTGGGGACAGGGATGCTGGGTGAGGAGTAGGAGGCAAGGCAGGGCTCTGTGGCCCAGCTGGCCTCTGTCCACGCAGGACCTGTCAGAGATCACGGCCAGCTGCTCACATGGGCCTGGACCCCGGAGCCCCCACGTGTTGTTGATGGGTCCCGGGGCGCCCTGAGGGGCAGTGGGAGGAGGGGACTGCGCATGTCCACTGCCAGCCACCCACAGACAGCTACTGGGGATCCCCCTCCGAAAGCACGGGTCCAGGGCAGAGGGCCCGGCCACCCCAGGCCTGTGGGAGCAGGGGTGTGGCTCAGTCCCCCGAGGGCCCGAGTCGATGGGAGCAGAGTGGGGAGCACTGCCCCCCTAGGCTAGAGCAACCAGCACTGAGGGGCCGCAGAGGCCACCCAGGCCCTCCAACCTCTGTCCGTCTGTCCAACTGGCTGGCGTGGGGTGACCTTGGGGGTCCCTCTTTGTCATTCACTCACATCCCCCAGCTTCCTGCTCAGAGCTGCTCCCCGCCTCCCCTGAGACTGAGACTGGATTCGGGAGTCTGGGGGTGGGGGGCTGTGCTGTGTCTGTACCCGACAGCCACTCTATAAGCACAACTTCAGCCTATTAAAGAAGCGTGACCCCGTTGGCAGGCGTTCGCTGCACTCGGGACTCTGATGGTTCTTCCAGTGAGCCTGGCACTGGGATAAACACAGCCACCCCCACCTGGGCACCACTGGCACTCTCTAAGGCCAGACCCAGGCCCTGAGTTTCTCCCCCTCTCCCTTTACCCTGTGGTCCCTTCGTCTGTTTCTCTCGGGAGTAGAAACAACACAATGTACGAGCGTGTGCACATGTCTGTATGCACGTGTGTATGTGTGTGCATATGTGTGCGCGTATGCATGTTTGCATATGTGCGCGTGTGTGTGTGCACTCTCCTGCAAACCGCTTGATGCCGAGGCTTACTTTGAAAGCCCCTGGGGCACTGGAGAGATAATACAGTGGACAGGAACTTGCCTTGCATGTGGCAGACCTGGGTTTGATCTCCACCCGCCCCCCCACCCCAAGCTGCACCAGGAGAGAGAAGGCCATGGGCGCCCTGCGGGGAGTCTGGCTTTGTGGGCCCAGGAGGCTGTGGGCAGGTCAGGGCAAGTGCGCAGTGACCCTTCGAGACGGCCCCACCTGCTGTGGCCTCTCCTCAGCCAGGCCCGAGCAGCAGGGCAGCTCCCAGTGCTGCCCCACGGGTGGTCAGGCCTGGCCTGGTGCACCCCAACTGCTTTTCTGCCATGCCCAGACCTGCTCCCAGCCAGAGCCGGCAGGAGGACAGGCCCTGCCGACCCCTGCCCTGGCCCCGGCCTATCCGGGGACAGCCAGGCTGCCCTGGGGTCGCTCCCAAGGCTGGATACCCCGCCCCTTCTGGACAGGGAGCATCTAGGAGAGTCCACGGGCCTGCTCGAGCCAGGACGACAACGCCCCCAACCTGGGCCCCTCTGGGCTCATGCCCCGCCCCAGCCCTGCAGTCACGAGAGCCCCTCCGGCTGACCCACTGACTGACGCTCCTGCTGTTTTGCAGCACGTGCTGGCAGATGCCGAGGAGACGCCGCAGGACAGTCGCGCAGGGAAGGTAGGCGGCCCCCGTCTGCGTGCTCTGACCGCGCCCATGTGCCAGATGGCCCCAAGCGTGTCCGTGTCCTGCGGGCCCCGAGTGTGTCCGTGTCCTGCCTGAGCGTGTCCGTGTCCTGCAGTCCCTGAGCGTGTCCATGCCCTGCGGGCCCCGAGCATGTCTGTGTCCTGTGGTCCCTGAATGCGACTCCCGGTCAGGCCCCTGGAGCTGAGGGCATGCGGGGGCCGTGCAGACAGGGAGGCAAGACGCCTGGAGTTTCCTCGGCCGTGTGAGAGTGGGGAAGGGAGACCGCCACGGCTGCGGGTCCCACATGGCCGCCGCCTCGCGCTAAGTAAGCAAACACTCCGCCGGGCGGCCATGTCAGCCGGGCACCGCGGGCGCTGGGCCAGTGATGGATAGTGGCTGGTGGACAAACATTAGCTCTGAACGAGGCCGACCGTGACCGGGCCAGACCCGCACAGCCCCGGGGCACGCACACAGCCACTGTCGAGGGGGCCCGGCCAGGAGGCCCCTCCCGGACGCAGGGGCCCCAGCTGAGCTCTGCTTCCTTCCTGAGGGCCAGGCTCATGTGGTGCAAACACGCACGGGTGTACACACATGCACGCAGGCACATGTGTGCACGACTGTCTGCCGTGTGGGAGCAGCACCCCCCTCCCCTGTGAGGCAGGCGTCTCCCGCCCCCGCCAGGTGTGGGGAGCCGCGTGGGTGCTGAGTCAGCAGAGCCACCGAGCGTGGTGCCGGGAGGGGGACGCGCTGGCGAGGGCGGCAGCCAGCGGCAGCCTGTCCCCGGGCATCCTGCAGACACAGCTCCGCAGGAAGGGGGTCCCTGTCCCTCTGCTTGGGCCCCTCGCTGCCCTGTGCCCACCAGGCCTGGGCACACTCCATGCTACCACTCACCTCCGGGGCCCGGAGAGAGAGGCTCCTGAGGGCAGCTCAGAGCCCCGCAAGGCCCCCTGAAGCCCACACGGCACGAAGGCCAGCCCTGGGCATCAGCCCTGGACTGCACGGCCGAGAGCCTCGGGAGGCTCAGGGTGAGGACCAGTGCCCCGCCCCCAACCAACCCCCCACCCGCACCCCCGCCCCACCCCTCACCCCATCCCGTCCCCCTCACCCATTCCTCGTCCCGAACTGTGCCCACCCTACACACACTTCCTGTGCCAGCCCCCCTTGCCTGCCCACACCATGCCCACCACACACCTGCCTATGACCGCTGCCCAGCGCCATCTGCCCCACCCCCCTGGCCCCATGTCCCCCGCCACCCGCCGGGTTCCCCGTCTGTACCCCGCGGGCTCCAGCTCTGCAGGTTCACGCTGCCCCCCTGGCCTGGCGGCCTCTCCCGTCTGTGTTTACTTAGAGGGAGCCGGGCCCCCCCGAGCAGACATCTGCGGAGATAATCTGCCGCTGTCCATCCATCACGGGCGCCCGCTCCCCGGGGAGTCCGCCCGGGCCGCTAATAAAAAGGCCGCGAAGAGGCTTTGGGGACGAATAAAGCGGCGTGTTAAGGGCCCCTGGAAATGGATGAAGCACATGATTAAGGCTCAATGTCTTATCAAAATCCAATAGGATAGACATTTGGCAAAGGGCTTAAATGTATTCTTGGACCTTCTGGAGGGTTTGAATTTATCCGTTAACAAGAGCGCGGTCCGCCCAGGGAGATGGTATCGCCAGAGGAATTTTGATTCAATCTCTCCGGTGATACGAGGGCGCCCAGGCCCGGCCGCGGCCTTTGTCTCAGTTTATCTAGTTTTCTTTCTCCGTCCTGAAAAGGGCGGGCGCGTGAACACAGCCGGGCCAGTGGCAGACAAAGAGCCGGTCCTGGCCGCCCCCTCCCCGCTGTGTGGCCCGGGACCGGGTGCCGGCCCAGCTCGAAGACCCGCACCTCCTCGGCACGGCAGGGAGGGCTGCAGGTGCCAGAGACAAACGCGACTAATAAAGGCCCCCGGCCCGGGTGGGCGCGGGCCCGAGCCTCCCCCAGGATCCGGACAAAGCGCTACAGGTCGCCAGACAGCGCCGGCCGGCTCGCCCGTGATTGATTGATAATTATGATCATTTGCGGGAAGATTATCTGGCTGTTAGCATCCCCGGCCTGCCGCACCGGCTGCTGGGTTCTGGGGCTTTCTGCCGCCAGGGAGCCGTGGGAGCCCAGAGGTGTCGGGACCGCGCGGGAGGCCACACACGGGACGTCCCTCCCGGCAGGCAGTGGGGGGCGTGGCTACTGCTGGTCTTTCCCAGGCAGCTGAGCGGTGGGGAGCCGCGTCCTCAGGAATCTCGGCCGTGCTCCGCTGCCCACGGGCCCCGGCCCCCCTGCGGCTCACCTACAAATACGCCTCATCACCCACCGCACCCCCAGCGGCGTGGCCGGCCGTGGCACCCCGTGACCACGATTATTAATTTGCATGTGGGTTCAGTTATGTCTTTATGAAATCAAAGTGTGTTTAGCTGCCGCGGAGACAGGCCGAGTTGATTTTGATAATCTCGGCCTGAATAGACTTGCTTGGCCGCGGTAAGTCCCGGACAAAAGGCTGGACAGGGGCTGCCCGCCCCCGAGGGCCCGTCCCCGCCTGGGTCCGGGCTGCTGATGAAAGCGCAGGAGTCCATTAATTCCGTGAATGAACATATAGTAAAGTCAGTCCCCTCTTGAGAACAATAATGTTGGGTCAGCCCCGTCGCCATGGAGACTAAGCGCCCCTAAGAACTCGCATCCTTGATTTTGCTGAATCAAAGGCGGCCAAGCCTGCCCAAGCTGCCCCCCTCCCCTTCCCCTTCCTCTTCCCCTTCCTCTTCCTGGGACTCTCGGCCCCTCCCCCCAGGCCTTCGCCAGTCCTGGCTTATCTGGCTGGTGGCCAGGGCACGGCCCGCCCGGCGGACTCTGACCTCTGGCCCCCCCCAGTAGCACCTGAACTTGCCCCTCGTGGGGGGCCGGCTGGGGCCTTCCTGGCGATAAGGGTGATTAATGGCCCGGAGCGATAGCGTGGCCCAGGGTGAGTTATGGCCGCCCCGGGCCGGTGACCAGCCAGTTATAAATGTAACCTGTTTGTGCTGGCCGGAATTGACTGTGCCCCCCGCCCCCGGCCCCCCACACCTCAGGGTCCCTTAAGTCAGCTTAAACCATCAGATTAGGCCGGGGACGAGCGGGTAATTAATTTCCTCCTAGGTAACTTATTACCTGCTGCCGGGTCTGGGGGTGCCACCCGGGCTGTGCCCCCCAGGGGTCTCAGGGCCCAGTACCCCAGAGGGTGCCCCAGGCATCAAAAAGGTTCTGGGCTGAGGGGTGGGGGAGGGGGCCCCTGGGTCAGGACCTTCCCACCCAGAGTCCTGTTTCCTGAGGGTCAGTGTCCACAGGGTCTGTCCCCGGGAGAGCCCCTGGGAGTCCCCGGGACCCCTGCCCAGGAGTGAGGGACCCTGAACCCCTCCCCACACTGCGGCAGCTTTTTGGTGTGAGGCACGGTGGGTCCACACGGTGGACAATTGCTCGGCCCTTGCCCCCCCGCACCCCCCGTGCCTGGCCCCTGCCCCATCGCTGCCCCCAGGTCCCGTCACTGTCAGAGGCCGCGGTCTAGGAAGATGTCGGACCAGAGTCCTCAGCTGGGACCTGGAAGGGTGTGGGCAGGGGACCATGCCCGCCGGCCACCACTGGGACAGTCACTCCCATAGAAGGGCACAGACAGATAGATGGACAGAGTGCCCAGCAGGACAGGACATGGGGACAGGGAGTGGGTGGGGCCAAACAGCCTCTAGATGCAAGGGGAGGGTCAGTCGGGGTCAGTTGGGGTCAGTCGGGGTCGTCAGAAGGTCAGTCAAAGGTCAGTTAGGGGGTCAACCAGGATCGGTTGGGGTCAGTCTGGGGTCAGTCAGAAGGTCAGCTAGGGGGTCGGTCAGGGTCAGTCAGAAGGTCAGTTAGGGGTCATTTGGGGAGTCAATCTGCATCAGTATGGGGTCAGTCTAGGGTCATTCAGGAGGGCCAGTCTGGGGTCTGTCTGGGTCAGTTTTGGGGTCTGTCTGGGGGTCAGTCTGGGTTCCTGCATTCGTCTGGGCTGTGTCCATCAGGCGTGTCCATCTCAGGGGCCAAGTTTGAGCTGACCTGGGCTATCCTTTGGCTATGCAGTCCAGCTTTGGCCGGACTCGGCTGGGGAAGCCAGAGACATCGGGGTGTGACAGGAGCACCCGGGCTGGGACTTGGGGTCACGCCAATGGCCAGCGAGGCGCTGAGCTCCCCCAAGCGGGCACCAGGCTTGGAGAAGCTGGCTGGTGCCGTGGTGTGGCCACCTCTGCAGAGCTCCCTGCCAGGCCCTGGACACCCCGTGCTCCAGCTGTCACCCCTGCTGCTGGTCCCCGGACACTTGGGATGCAGGAGGCTCTGGAAACCCCTCAGCAAGTCCTCCTGGGCACAGCGGCCCCTGACTGCGGCTGGCCGGGCCCTGCGCTTGGGGGTCAGTCTGGGGGTCAGCTGGGTAGTTTCTGGGGAGGCCATCAGGGACCCAGTCCTGGGGAGAGGGCCTGGGGGCGGATGGGGCTTACCACATCTCCCGCACCCGCTGTGACACCGGACCTGATTTCCAATCATGGCTGGGAAGCAGAGCCCAGCCCCAGGGACGCTTGTCACAGCTGTGAGGGGCCGAGAGACAGAGCCCAGCCTGTCCATCACCTGACTCTGCTGGCACGGCTGGGGACAGGCTCCTGCCACAGGCTGGCCACTCGGGCCGCCCACGAGGCTCCAGGGCAGTGAGGCCCGGAGGGGAAGATGGTTATCGAGGGGCTGGCCAGGAGGGCTGTGAATGGGCTTCCGGCCTTTGTCCTGCCTGGGGGGGTGTGGGACTGCAGGGGACCGGCCTGGGGAAAGCTGAGGTTGCTCTGGAGAAGAGTCCTCAGGGCGAATCCCCTCCTGCTGCGGCCAGCCCGGCCCTCCACTAGGGGCTGTGCCCAGGGCCCCCACAGAGCGGCCTGGCACACGGTCCCCAGTGTTCCCAGAGCTGTGGTTCTGCGGGGCAGATCCCCACGGC